GGTTTATGCCCGGACTGTCGACAACAAGTAATAATCCGTCCAAATTACTTGTCGACAGTCCTGGAAAAGGGAGGTGATGTTCTACATGAGTGACTTCACTCCCAGTGTCATCGAAATTAACAAACCAATTAAAACAGAGTGTGATATATTTAGTAGACAATATAGTTATTCAGTCAATATAACAACATGCATGTATCATGCATGTATCATATGTCACACAATATAACATATTTGTATATATATTTCATAAAGCTCACACAATATATTTGTGTGTGTGTTTTATATAAATAAGTGATTTCTGCAGGTGTATAAGTAATAAATATATAAAAGATGAGTCCAGTTATTTCTTCTTGCCAAAACTCCTTTATATGTGCACTAAAGTAATCTGAATGTTCAGCCAAGATGAAGCAACTCTGACACATGGTCTGTGTAATTCAAATCAGTAAGTCTGTCGGCAAGAAGGTCGGCCTTCAAGGATCGAATCTTAGCGTCGATGATTCGGTAGCGACGTCTACGGACGGGATCTCTCTGCTGTCCTTGGATCTGCTGAATTTTTACTTCAGTAGATGACTGTTCTTTTTGTAGCATTCGCACAACCTCAAATACATTCGGATGTGTCTTCATGGCATACTTGTTGATTTTGTTGTGCCAACGTTCCGAATTATTGTTAGTTCTGTTTCCACCATTTTCAAAATGATTCCAAGTTGGCAGTGTCCATGGACCTTCTACCCAGGTGGTAGTAACGTAATCCATCAGCTGTGTAATCCATCCATGCACCTAGTGGTGCGTCTGCAGATATGATGGACAAGTTGCATCTGTACATCTCCAGTATGTTTTCTGAGCTCTGCGTCTGTTGACTCTGTACTTGAATCCATTGTGGTAAAGATTCTGACCTCTATGAATGTTGTCAATCAATGTAACCCGCACCATAGCATTTGCCATTTTCACAGTGGTAACAAAATATTCATGATCTATTATATATACCCAAATGCTAAATGTTTACAACAGCATTTCCATAATCCTTCTACTCCCAATATCACAAAATAATTTGTAAGCTCTCTGTTTCTTTCCGGATGTTGTTGCATGTTAAACTCCAAAATGGTAAATCCTTCCACTCGCATAACGTAAAATAATAGTCTGTTTTTGCAACCTTAATTCTCTTGCAAATTGTTAAATAGACATTCTCTTTAATCAACTTAATTCATTTACTCATGATACGAGCCACCATAGCCACTTGCAAACCGCTAAGCAAACATTCTCTTTCATTAATTAACACCGTCCCAGTATGTTGACCGCGCGATGTCGACACTCCGGGTTTTTTGTTTTGTCGACGGTTAGCAACATCCTATTTTTCATTTGTCGACAGATCGGGCTGACACCGTTGCGGCGATAAAAAGGGGTTACAATTGGTCCATTATGGGGTCTTCAGGCGCGAAGTCCAGCGACACAAAAGCAATTTCTGACAGTTATCCTTCCACCAAACATCTCCCTAATTGTGGAAACTGCAGCAACAAATCTGTTCCGAAGATGACGTAATCGTATTGCTTGATCTTCCCGAAGTGACGTCACACGTGACGCTCCCGGCCTCGGGCGGTCGGCAACAGTTCCGGTTTGATGCACATTCATCCCAAGATTAAAAATTGTTTGCCGTGAGCAATTAAAGGCTCTTGCAACAGCGATCACAGACTGTCCGTCATCATTGACTTTGTAGCCTATAAAGATGAAAAACACGAAATGCACTTGTGAAATGCAATTTCATGAGACCATCCGGTGCATGCTGGCTTAAACTGAACCCGCACATGTGAGCTGAAAAAAACAAATTAAAGTTTTCGTTTTAATCTTTGTTTGGAAATGCCACGCCTTTCAAATCAAGAACGTCACCGTGTTATGGGGAGGCTTGGTGCTGGTCAGTCTGCGGTCGCTGTTGCAAGAGTGGAATTCGGTTGTCTTCAGCGACAAATCTTGATTCACATTGCGATTTGCCGACGGCATGCAGGGCCCGAGTGTACCCAGGCGAGGTGAACGTCATGCTCAAGTCTGCGTCCTTGAAGTGGACAGATTTGGTGGCGGAGCGTAATGGTATGGGGTTCGTTTTGCGCACACGGACGTTCTTCCCTTGTACTCATTCGAGGGAACTTAAATGCGGCCCAGTAAAGGGATCAAAATTTTGCAACCAGTCCTGCTTCCATTTATGCAGAAACATGGCCCAGGACTGATGTTCCAACAAGACAACGCTCGCCGTATACGGTTATTCTTAAACAAAATTTTCAAGAATTCAATTTCTGGATTGGCCGTCGCGTTGCCCCGACCTCAGTCCTATCGAAAACATCTGGGACGAGCTTGGTCGACGTGTTCGTCAGCAAACCAATCCACCACAGATCCTCAATGTCACCTTGTTGAGCAATGGCGACGTCTTCCACGGGTTGTGTTTACTAACGTTTTAAGATCCATGAGGAGACGTTTTGTGGCTGTAAGAGACGCTAGAGGGGACCACAACCCTTACTTAAGACCTGAATCGAATTGTTCTCCACGCTGTGAAGTTCATTTTGGAGGGTACCTAGACATAATGAACGTTATCGTTGTTAAAGAGTTTCGGCGGGACTTGTTTTTTGTTTTCCTCTGATGTCAAGATGTTCTGTACGCAGCATGCAACTAAGATGATTGTCTTAAACATAAAATTAAAGACCTAGTCCAAATAATCCCGAATGTCAAGTTTTCAGTTTTGTTTTTGTTTTGTAGACATACAACTAATGATTGGTCTGTTTTATCAACATACAATGTTCCAACAGGCGTAGTGGTTATATTTGTATCTATCTCTCATACACACAAAGAGCATTGTACAAAAGCACATTGATTTCCACCTACTCACGGACAATGTCTCTGTCTCAGTCCATCTCTAACTACAACTTCATCAACAGACACGATAGGCTCGTACCACACAGGCAACTGAGTGACGTGGACTGGCTTCGGTCACTTAAAAGCGCGCACCACTCGCTCAGTGCCAAACCTATCTTTTTATATGGTTCGAGCCTGGCCTGATCCTGATCACATGTTTCAACCCATCGTTTTGATTCGTTAATCCTATATCCATCCCAGCACTCATGAATATTATGATTGGAAAATTATCGGTAAATACAGTTCGGTAACTCCCCCAATATTTATTGATCTATTATTGGGTTCTGTCTCAAGCGACGTATATATTTCTAACTTACGAATAAACGCCATTCTCTTTAGACTTTCTGTCTCCGAACAATGTCTGGGCGTTATCCACCATGAGCCAAACTGTAACTCTATATACGGAGTCTGATGTAATTCTCGTACTGATTTAGGGATGCATTTTTTACCTTATAACAATATATCAAGCGTTTATGGAAGTGTTTAAGAAGTGACATTTTGAAGACAGTCTTCGAGCGAGCATGTCGTTGGGGATGCGCGTACGTTGGTTTAAGTGTTTCACCTTTACGGTCTTAATTTGGTAAAACGAGATGGATCACGTGTTTTGTTCAAAACTCACAGATACTCGAAAGAGCGTACTCTATATTGTCAATACGTATGTGATATTATATATTTGTGTGTTTTTATGAACATACTCAAATTACAAAAATATGGTTATATAAAATATAATTTCACATTGCACTGACAAATAAGTGAGTTATAAGGTTGAGACATCGGCAATACTTCTTAGAGGTCAAGTTGACCTGATTTGCTGAAGCAAAATATGTCTTTTAATCATGTAATTTATTAGTGGAAAGCAGAAGTTTTTAATTACAAAAATATGGTTACTGTAATTTCACATTGCACTGAAAAATGACTGAGTTATAAGGTTGAGACATCGGCAATACTTCTTAGAGGTCAAGTTGACCTGATTTACTGAAGCAAAATATCTGTCTTTTAATCATGTAATTTATTAGTGGAAAGCAGAAGTTTTCGATATCAATTGTAGAGTTGAATATGTGCTGCATATTTCACAATCGTGCAAACATTTCAAGGAAACACATCGTGACATAATCGTCGTGTGACCAATGACAAACAATTTAAACTCGTGTATATCTGCTGTTGCTTGATTAGGGTAATTAAAAAACCTGAAACGAAATAATTCAAATATCCCATACACTTTCGATGACCGTTGGAATAAGTGTCGTCTAAAGTATGAGCAGATATAAACAGAAGAAAATTAAAAACAGCGCCACCCCCATTAAACGAATGGTCAAGTTTAACGGGTTGCGACATTATGTCGATTTCAAGAGATGGCATGAACTCCCATGTGTTACTAGTAGTAGTAGTAGTAGTTTATTTCTGTCAATCAGGCCACAGGCCCATTTTACAATTAATGTATTCATTTGACAATGTATAAATGTATGTTGATGTTGCGCCACCAGTGCATGTATCAATGTTTGAATACAACAATTTATATCTAGTACAATATCCATGTGAATATAAAATATGTAGGTTATATGTGTAATGGACAATTGCTTGCTCCTCATTTTAAGAGCAAAGAAAGTAAAGTTGGCAAAATTATTAAGCATGGAAGTATTTTTGGTGGTAAATAAAAGTTTACATTTACACTCTGAAGGAAATTTGTAGTAATAACTTGTGGACAGTTTTTCTAAGGTCATTATAAAATGGACACACTAGACAGACATGGTATTCTGTTTCGACATTTGGGATGATACAAAATGGACAAAGTCTTTCACTTTTATGTATGCCTAGTTTTCTACCCTGTGATATCATAAGATCACTACAAGGGCGGTGGGGTAGCCTAGTGGTTAAAGTGTTGGCTCGTCACGCCGAAGACCCGGGTTCGAATCCCCACATGGGTACACTATGTGAAGCCCATTTCTGGTGTTCCCCGCCCTGATGTTGCTGGAATATTGCTAAAAGCGACGTAAAACCACAGGATGTACGAAATTGTGAAAGAGTTATTCTACATGCATCAATATTTAGGATTACTCTTTCACAATTTCGTACATGTGTTACTACATAAACGCAATATAACTTACGTAATGTTGTGTCCAGGGAGGAGTCCTTCTGCCTGAGCCCTCTCGATGGCCAGCGTTGCTGCGGCGGCGTTGTTTTCCCAGCCCAGTCGGACATGTCGGAACGGACTCAGCATCCCCAGTCGGAACTCCCTTGCTTGACAAGAACCCAACAGCAAAAGTTCCAGACGCAGTAAGAAACACGCCATCTGCATCTTTACGTTTTGATTCTTCATCTTATTATCCCACAACCTAAGCATGTGAATGATGGGGTGGAACCTTGCGCAATGTTTTCTTTTAGTTCACCATCTGACTCGCGACCCAACAACTATAACAAACAATAATTGGTGGTTGACATCAGTGGTCAGGATGTATGGAGGAAGACATCAATAACGTCTTCGTTTCTGGAAGCTAATGTGACATATAGGTCTCTGCTGTTCCAACGTAATGCTGATATATGACGTGATTCCGTCTCTGCCGTCCTGTTTCAATGTATGGTGTGTTTCTTGGAAGGCGGACCATCACCTACGTTTGTCCACCTGAGCACGGCGAATCAGAGCAGTTCATTTCCAGGTATGTTGTGCAGATCAATAACACTCCATGACCAGAGCCAGCCTGTTTATATCGGGAATGGCTCAGAACTCTGATAATGTGTAAAGTATGTGTTTGCTACAAAAACTGTAACATACCTTACAAATTTTACCAGTCATCAGAATTCAAAATAAGATAAATTTACTTTGGCTTACAGTTACTTAAATGCCCATCAGGTAATGACGTACACACATCATATGTTCTGTCGCGCGTATCTGGGGTATTGTGTAGCTGGTGAAAGCACATGGACCACTGCATAGGAAACAAACACAAATAGACTACTCATTATAAACTGATAGATTGACTAATCGCTGTCTGGAAACTCTAGGCTCACATGATACTTTGCATTGCATAATATTATTATGCTGGATATAACAGGAACTTAAACGTTCAATCAGAATTCAGTCGATGAAACTAAATGTGGATCATCTAGGTACTGGATGCTGTAAAAGACTTGACATTGAAAACCACCAAAAATAAGACAAGCCGCTTATCGCGACGACTGAACAGGGTGTTGGCGATAATCAGCCTCGGGCGTGTGGAAGAGGTAGGTTATGAGAAGTTACCACAACATATTTCATCCGTGCCGTACATGTATTTACATGGTATGTCTGCTGAATGTTAAACGATAACGAGGTGTGACCTTGGGCTGTGAGCGGATATGTGGTGGCAGAATGCAAGCGAAATGTGTTAATATGCATGATCTATTGGCTTAATACACTGTGTGGTTGGTCAGGTAGATATGAATGTATGTTTGTTCATACTAACCGAAACGTTACAATATGTATGTATGTATGTATGTATGTATGTATGTATGTATGTATGTATGTATGTATGTATGTATGTATGTATGTATGTATGTATGTATGTATGTATGTATGTATGTATGTATGTATGTATGTGACTATTGTTTGTAGGTGTGTAAAAGTGTCCATGTTGATTTATGCCTCCTTTCCTCCAAGCCCCCGTTTAATAACGTTTGACGCTTAATCTCGAGTCGTGATGTGAGTCATTGGATAGTCTGGTCCAGACTCGATTATTTACAGACACACATTGCTGAGTGTGGCGTCAAACTACAAACAAAGAAACATCTCGACCCCACAAGGACAAATTTATCTTGAAACAAGGGAGGGATAGTGTTTTCATCTATGTGACCACCCAAGTTCCTCCCTTTCAATTCTACGTTAACTTTTTATATACGGCAATAGCGTTGAAACGAGTCTGCGTTTTACTTTGACTGTTATAGGGAACTGACCCGTTTCAAACTGTAACTTCCCATAACAATCTCACATTTTCATGATCGGAGGGTGATCTACGCCGTTGAATCATCTTTCTTCTCACACAATTGTTCATTGGTTTAAGAGCCTTCTTAAAGAATGAAGCAGACCTCATTATACAAACTTTGTATATGGTTAATACAGTCCTATTTATTCTGAAATCAATTTACTCATTGACAGGTTTAGTGTTGTCGCACAGCAAGAACATTAGCGTGAAACATGACAATGAGCCTATTATTTCACACCATTGATACCCTTTCAGACAGGCTTTAGGGATTTCCTATGAACTTTATCTATTCCAATAATTAAGCAGCCAAGCTTTTGTACCAACCACCACGGTGTACATCAACTCATTAGCTCAGACATCTTTTGATGTTGGTAATGACGTTTTCATCGTCTTCATTTGTTCGTTAGATTCCTTCCTTTGTAAACACAATTAAAATGTCATCTTCGTCGCTGGGGATGTTTTTTACATTATGCATATTGAATTTGTTAATCTGTTCATCGTTTTGTTTGTGTAGCTATCGCCTATGCGATGCAGATAAAATCTTACAGCGTCACCCAATGTTCCCCCAATGCAATTGGTTAAATTCTATCTTTGAGACACATGCATGAGTAGTTAGAGTGTTTGTTGATCGAGTAAAGTTACAACATTCAAGGCTTCAGTAAAGCTTTCAAAAAGTTTATTGGTAGACATTTCGAAATTTGATGCATCAGTGACAAAAATGATGTCCGATGTAATTCCCTATTTTGACTGGTACCATAGGTTACCGAAATATTTCAGGTGAACCGTTGTCTAGACTTTGCGTATGTTTATGACGGGTGCCATCGATGGAGCAGGATACGCTCACGTTTTCGCGAACAATTGGTATCATCACTATTTCATAGTGATTCATTAACACCTGCTCTGTCATTTATCGCATGGGTTTTTCTGGTCCAGACTCAAACAGCTGTAATAATGCTGACATAAATTTATACTCAAGATATAGACACAATTGTGCATTCGACTCGAATGTTTATGGATGTGGAAAGGGGTTTGTTGCTTCTATTTCTATTATCATATGAGATAATCTAGTCATTAATCCTTAAGAGGTTTCTCTATTCCGACAATTCCGTTTTTAACAAATACTAAAATACTAAATTGTAAGGTATTTAGAGAAAAGATTTTTCATAGGTAAAATGCGCAGTTAACACACATATTTCAGATTTTAAAGTGGCTTGGTGACATATTATTGGATTTTGTTTTGATATAATTTGCATAACATGCATATAAAAAATACATTATGTATTACTCAGAAAGATAAAGGGGACATAGCTGTGAAAATTATATGAATGGATAACAGGTTGTACATGTATATTTGTGGCTGCGAACGTTTCATATGTATTATCTTATACCAGGGCTCAAGTAACATATGTAAGAGTCAGTATTACACATTCACAGTAAAATATAGATTCTAGCACTGTTGTTGGGTTGAGTCCATCCGGGGTTCGAACCCAAACCCATTGACACCGTCGCGTCTGTTTCATATTTAGATATATGCTTAAAGTTATAGAGTGGTCACTCTACATTAGACTGTATGAAAATGGGAACGACATTCTAACTGTTAACCTTTTCCTTTCTTTCAGCTCTAGCCTGTGTACACATTACAACGTTTGTGCTACAATTCCGGCATTCTTTTCCTTCGAAAGATATAAATGTAATGCGAATTTTGACAATAGTCACAAGATTTCTGGCCTCAGTGAAGTTTGCCACGCGTTTTCTGATGGACAAGTGCAGTACCTTTCCAAACTGGACACATCTGTGAAACAACATTTCTGCTGCAATTCCCTATTTTGACTTTTACCATAATCCCCGTGTTTTCAGGTTAACAACTGACTTTCTTTTCCCATACTTGTGACGGGTACCACCGATGAACAGGATATGTGGGTGGGAACTGTCGCTCTTAATTAATGATGGTGTTCATGATAATCTCCTATAACAATGGTTGTTGCTGTTCAGTAACAGTTCACAGGTTTCATAATCACCCTGCAACGCGAACTCGCAAATAAACCCGCTAACTAATGGATAGTGAGGTTCATAATGCATTCGTTATCTCGGTAATGCCAATTACTGAACGCTATTGTTCCATGTACTCATTAGTAAATAATAAGGATATCAGTATGAATCGTGTGTTTTCGGTAGCTGTGTACGCTAGGCAATGTCTTATAACGGACGATTTCTAATGGCTGACAACAGTGTATGAAATAAGGCCCGTCCGACCGCCCGAGACGGGTTAGATTTCAGACGGACGGTCGAGATTTACAGCTAGCCATCCCGATGGTCTGGTAAAAATTTAGATGTTATATACATAGTGGATACTAAACGACCTTCCGTGTAATACCATTTTTATTAAACGAGTTAATGATTTGAAGCTAAATCTTTCACGAGTTTAATAAAAATGGTATTTCACAGAAGCGAGTTTAGTATTCTGTTTATTACTCTCCAACATAAATTGATCGAAACTGGTTACAGTGTGATGACTCTCATGTCAATTTTCCTCGAGTCAAGCAAGGTCTAATTCATGGATCCGCGCATATTGATTGACAGCTGGTATCAACCAATCAGAAAAAAGCTTTGTTGTCCTTAGTTACCGTGCGGTGAAAAGCGCAGAAAATGGTATTACGATGCGCGTGGGGGACATGCAATGCTGACGAACGTTACCCTGAAAGACTGGAAGGAGTTTTTTTCGTCCGATTTCCAACTGTCAAACGGAATGAAGAAAAATGCAAGCGATGGATTAAAGCTTGCGGTTGTCCTCATTAGCAGCTAAATTTATCCAGAATAAATCAACACAAAGCTAAGGTAAAAATTATTGCACTTAAATAATATTTATAAAAAAGGCATACTTAATTTTATACAGAATGTTCACTGTTATAACACGAGATCGGAGCAATAATATATCTGGAGAATTCATTTGTAACCATTTCCGGCAAAGGAAGTTCGATCTCAATTCATTTGATTCGACGTAATTGTTTAGGCCTGATACGTAATTAGATATAGATAGCTGGAAAATGGACATGTATTTCTGTTGGTCTTATCTGATAGTATTTTGTTTTATTCCAGCATTTTGTAGGAGGAACAGGACCGAGCAGAGAATATCCTGACCCAGTGCCTGCAGACGGAGCCTGCCCAAAGCCAGTCAGAAAACCACCCCTGAAACGCCCAAGCCAGTACACTCCCTGCATATCGGATAAAAAGCAGAGGTCATCTCTTGTCGGAGAGAATATTGACATGTGTGTATTTAAAAACTTACACAAATCAAACTAGATGCATTCTTCAAATTCAATAATGGAAAATACATATATAC